ATGGCCGCCAGCTACAATGCATAATACAGTATGAGCATTTATAGATGTAAAAACATGAACATGAAATACAGTGTAAACAATGACAAATTATTTTATAAGACATGAAACAAACAACTGTAGAGTTCCTACTTCATTTCTGAAAACATTCAGAAAACAGCAAATGAAAAGTGCCTCTTTTCCAATTCAGAGTGTCCCGTGCATAAATGTAAAAACATGAACATGTAATACAATATAAACATGTCAATTACAAATACATGTATACAGTATGAAGAAAAAAATATTTTATTAGACATGAAACAAACAACTGTAGAGTTCCTACTTCATTTCTGAAAACATTCAGTCAGCAAATGTTAACCTGCCATGGGCAACTATCCAGTGCCACTGAGTGTACTTCCTCGAGATCAATTCCTATTCAGACGGGACTTTGCCGCCATCTTGTTGCCATACAAAATGCAAATACGGTCAGTGAAATTATAAACCACAAATAGGCAGTGAAATTTGAAAGACATTTGAGTGATTAGCATTAGCCCAAGAAGCTAATGATGCAGTCCGTTTCTTTGTACAAGATCAGTAGAAATAAAAGAGACTCACATGCACCATACCGATAAAAAATAACTACTATTCATAAAAAATGTGCCAGTTGTTCCAAACCAATAGAAATGGGAACACAAACCATCAACATTCTCCAACAAAAACGACACTTGTTCTGCCATCCACGTTTCTGGCAATGACAATGTCAGACTATGTACACTACTGATGTCTTTTGTGTGTGTGTGTGTGTGTGTGTGTGTGTGTGTGTGTGTGTGTGTGTGTGTGTGTGTTCACAATGCAGGTCTTTACACTATACCTCTGCTGGATCTTCTCACTTTTCTCTTACCTCTTACTGTCATCCATTTCGAAAAAGGGCTGCAAAAAAAAAAAAAAATGAAAGGGAGAACCAAAACACACACACAGAGTTAATTCTTTGATGCAGGTTGTGAAATGGGGTCCACTGAGATGGTTTTATTGTTGCTTGAATTTATTTTTTATTTTTTTTCGATACAACAGACATCAGCTCACAATATTACAAAAGAGTTTTTTTTGGGGGGTGGTTTGCTATTCGCAGCAGGGCTTGGCTCCTATCTTCTAAAAGTCCACATTTAATGAAGAGCACCCCCCCTACCACCTCCACCACCATCTTTCGAAATGCCTGGTTCACTTGCCCACCGAGATGCTCACAAAGGATTTAAGTGAAATTACTTTTTTTTTTTTTTTCTGGGGCACTTTTTTTCCTCTGCACGTTTCTCTTTTCACTCTGTTTACATCACTGAAATAATTCTCAGAAAGGTTCACTCATTACCCAGATAAGACGATTTACCTGTTCGACTGCTAAAACAAAAACACACAAGTCTTGGTTTCATCATTGAATGAGAAGGCTGTTGAAAAAAAAAAAAATACAAAATAGCCCGATGCCTGACGAAAGGAATGGAAATCATGATGCTATTCAATAATTTGACTCTGAAAGCCAAGGCGTTTGTTCTGATGAGGGTGTATTAAAGAAATCGCATGGTAATAGGAGAGCAGCTGTTCAAGAGCCATTTGTGAGCAGCGAACTGTGCTGTGCTGCTTTGGTTGGTCCAAATGGGTGCCTTGTGGATGGCTGATTGGTTTTTTTGGGCAACAATTGTGGAGAGTGAGATGGCAAGCCTGCAGTTTTTAGAGCCAGGGCCCATATTTTAAATTGGAAAAATATCATGGTACACCACCCAAGTAAAATGTGCCAAAAGTACGGATCCTTTGATGTCATGATAATCTCGTTGAAATGATCGAAAAACATTTGGGCTCTCGGTCACTCCCAAAATACAAAGGGAGGAAAATCACACCGTGACCTCAACCCTATAGAGAATCTGCGCGTTAGCTTCATTGAGATCCACCGTGCGACTCCTTCACGCAGCACTTAAGGCCGCTTATTATTCATGTGTTGATTGAGGATTATTGTTCCATCTGGCTCACAAGGGTACAGATGATGAAAAAAAAAATGGAAAAATGGAAGAAGCACCACCTGATGTCGGATTTAAGGATGCGGGGCTAGCGAGGAGCCGAAGCACGCAGGCCGAGCTCTCCAGAGGGTGGGGTGGTTCAATGGGATCATTTTTTTCTGCAGGACTGTCATACGCCACGGGTTGCCTCATTTGTCTGCTCCTTTGTTGCCAGACTCCCCCACAAAATTCCAAGATTAGGCCGCAGGCCAAGCAGTAAAGGGAGGGTGGTGCTATGGGGGGTGGGGGGGGGCATGTACTATATCGGCGAATTGTAAGAAAGCCTCATTTTACTGAAAATGTAGCACATCATGGACATATTGCATTTTTAATAATTGCTGAGTAGCTGGAAACGGGCGGCAATGAAAGATGTCGCTGCTATGTTGGTGCTCTGCATTGCTGGAGTGGCTGACCCAGTTTATCTGCTGCTCAGGTGATTAATGCAGCATCACTACAAATAAAGGTCAGGGCCGGAGCACGAGAGCCGAGGGAGTTGCATATGATTTGTCTGGGGAGGGGGGAGTTTTTACATGGCATCACTCGCTGACTGTACAGCCAGGTAATTATTCTGCCATTTTTTTTTTCCCTTAAGAGTTTGATGAACTTGTTTTCAAAAAGCTGCTGTCACTAAATGGCGGACTCTGGACAATGGTCCGCCATCCGGACCACGTAGCCTTTTTGACATGATATCAAGAGCAGACTTTGGGAAATTTTCAACAATACCAAGAGTTGGCATATTTAGCCCCCGCATATTCTCCACACAAAAAAAAGACGAATCAAACACCTTTCGTTGCCGATACAATTGGGGTGCTGAATTTATGACAGTCCCCTTCAGCTGAACACCGCATTGTTCCGATGTTGTACAAATACCATCCTATGTGTTTCAGTTTGATATTCTTTTTGGCTAATTATTCGGTCGTAGGTAATGCTAACGTGCTTGGATTACAATTCCAGGTTGACTTTTTCCTTTCTCGGACCAAGAAAATGCATACACTGCATTCATGCAGCGTGATGTCACCTCCACATCTCGTTGCGCCACAGATGCTAACATAGCTACAGGGGAAAAAAAAAAAGAAATAACAGTCCATGTTATTATATGTTTCAATGTATTATTTTAATATATGGGGTGGGGGAATAGTTTATGGTTAAGATGTTTAACAATTACACACCATCTTTGATCATGTTTTAATTTTAGAGCAGCTAATTAGTTAGCGGCTATCTCTTTCGCGCTCAGAACTTGTTCGCTGTCCGTTAGACGTTTTGATCTTTTTAGTTTGACGTTTGCGACATATATTTTTTATAGTTGAAGTGGGATCCTCGTCACTCCAAAACCATCATTTTTAAGTACCCCCCAACACACAAAAAAATGCAAATTTGTCAAGCCATTATACCATTGCATTGTCAGAGAGGACAAGCCATTTTCAAGACTTTAGATCGGTCAATAATTTGTAAAAATAAAAGATTCACGTGGAGACTGATCAATATTATAGATTTGTGTTAAATGTGAATTTTACCAAGTGTGGAAATGACAGATTTAGTCTTCTAAGGAAGGCTTCTGTCAAAAGTCCTTCTTCCCCGGCAAACGCGCACATATTCTTCTGATCGCTCGCTGGGGTGAGCTGAAGCCTGTAATATGAACATTTTATATGGACCTTTTTTTCTTCACTTTCGTCGATCAGTGCGAGCAGGCCTAATTAAAATACATCAAGTGTGATTATGCATCGCTACGGTTCACCTAAATGATCATCTCCACTTTTACATCTTCGAGATGCGCCACAAACCAACCCACACGGCGTCTCTTCCAGAGAAATTGCTGCAGCTAAATGAAGCGATGATTTTCTTTACCCGTTCCAGCTGTAGCGCAAATGGTCTCCAGTCTGCCGGAAAATTCTGCTCCTTTCATGGCGATATGAGGGATTTAAGAAAGACGGTTTGAAGAGCGTTGGGCTTCGAATGTCTCGAGTGGTGTCGTGTCAAACAGGTTTTCGCATCCCTTGGATTTCTTTAGTCACAATCGAGTAAATGCTATATGAGCAGAAACGGTGCAGCAACACATGAAGTCAGACAAGATAACAATAATGACCAATTATCCTATCCAAAAATTAGTCATCTACCTTTTGAAGGACTATCTCCATGTACGTTATGTGGTGTTTACCCGTATGATATTGCTCTCTGATGGCTCACATACACCAGTAAGACAAGCAGAATGTCCACTGAGGCGCTGCGCTAGTTGTTGTTGTTGTTTTTTTTTTTTGTTTTTTTTTTTTTTTGTTTTTTTTTTTTTTTGTTTTTTTTTTTTTTTGTTTTTTTTTTAAAGCATGCTCATGTGACAAATTAACACTTTCAATACCCATTTAAAAAAAGAGAAACTCTTGAGTGTCAGCCAATTCAGAGCATTCTGACAGGTCTTTCAAGGCTAAAAGAATATTGTGTTTTATGACTATATAAATATGGATGGAACACAGAAACTACCAAATAAAAAATTAGACTCCATTTTCCAAATATTTACCAGTGCAACAATTTTACTATTTGCATGCTATTTAATAGTAGGAGTAGTAGTAATAGTATTTAGTCGTGCGTGCGTCCATCGTGCCCTGCATGTGTGTGCGTGTATGAATGTGTATTCTCATCGCTTCTTCTGGTATTTGTAAATTTGAATCATCTCTGTCATCTTTTCTTTCTATTCTGACACTGTTGTCGTAGATTTACAACCCATTTAGAAACCACAAGCTGGGTGTAACAGTCGATGTTCCAAAGAACCCAAATGTCATGACTAGAAGTCATGTTTTCTACATGGTGATCTCACAGGGACCCGATAGTGCCATCTACTGTCCATATTTAATGTTTTTGTGTTACATTCCCAGCTTATGAAAAAAATGTAGTTGATTTCCAACTATTTTCTTAATTTTGTGCAAGTTGGCCATTCTCATTGGTAACAACTCTCATGGTTTTCTCATGCACGTCATTCCTTTTCTCTTGAAGGTCAATGGCAGAGAGCTGTCCAAATCCAGCCATGAGGAGACGTTGGAGAGCTTCCTCCCCGCCAAGGACCCCGTCGTGGTTCAAGTCATCCGGCGGACCCCCAGTGGCCGACCCCATGGCCCGCCTCAGGAAATCCATGTGGTGGATGTGTGCACTCAGACCGACATCACCTTCGAACACATCGTGGCGCTGGCTAAGCTGCGGCCTACGACGCCTCCCGTGCCGGACGTCTGTCCCTTCTTGCTTAGCGACAGGTGGGCTTACGTTGTTACACGCTCACATTAGGACATTTGTACTGTACCTGAGACCACTTGACACCTAAAGTCCGGTTCATTTGAATGGTGTGAGTTTAGCACAGCTTTTGAGTTGAAGATAAAAATTAGGTCGTTTAGGTATCAGGCACTCGAACTGAGTTTATATATGAGTGGTGTATATTTTGTGGTAGTTAGTAAAAAGGTCATTGGACTGGATGGTGAATGGCATGTAAAAAAGCCACACTCAAGCCATTCATTGAGTGTGGCTCATGTCATGTTTGGAGTTGTATGTGATAAATAGTTGCTTTATGATTAACAGACATGCTTCTTTTCACCAAAAAAAAAAAAAAAAGCTAGTTTTTCTCCATGCTTTGGTCAGAAACCGGCGTTTTTTGATAGAGCCAACCCTTCGACTGCTTACTGATGAAAGAAAAAGTTCAAGGTTCAAGGTTCAAGTGAAATGCAAACTGTTTTTCTGTTGGTACAAGAAGGCTCCTCTTTATTTTGCTAGCTTCTGTGCTTACATTGCCACAGGACACAATATTATATTAATGGAAAAATTAGTTGAGCTGCCTTGTACAATAGAAAATGAAACAATACCAATACTCTGTACGCAACTTTTTGCACAGCATAATCTTAAATTATCATCCAACTAGGGAGCACAGAGAAGTAGCGATGTTATTTATCACCAAAGTTAATGACACAAATATTTACATGCAAATCAAAGAGAGCATCAGCAAGAGGTTTTCCTTGAAAAACAACAACAACAAAAGAAACAGGAGTCATTATTTCCCCTGGCATCGCGGTGATTTTGTGTTCCGCGCATCACAAAGTAACAAACGGGAAAAGTTTTGCATATTTTAAAAAGTAGGTTTCATCTCCTGGGAATGGAACGACAGGAACTTTTCTTTTTGTTTGTCCTTTACTTGTTGTTGATTCACAGAGTTATTGACACTTGAATGTATTGCTCAAATAAGAAAGATAGTGATGCCTTCTATAATACAATACAGTTATGTGAAAACAACCGATTTGAGTCGAGTATTATCAGGCCAAATCTTGGCCCTTTTCCCGTCACAGTGCAGGAAATAAGAACGCTTGCTAGCGCCACTGTTGTCACTTTTGCTCGTCTCTTTTGGGGGGAGGGAGGGGGGCATAGTTGCTGGAGGCGTTGGACGCTTGGCATAGCCGACGTCATCTCAAAGCAAAGGCTGTGTTGAGGTCATGCAGAATTCAGGCCGAGGGGGGCACCAAAAGCGGCACACCGCAACAACTCTTGGCTCCGATTGTTTTCCGAATGCTCAATTAAAAAAATCTTGTGTGGTCCTGATGCTGCCTCTCAGAAATTGACGGCATGATAATAGGCTGGTGCTGCACAATGAGAGCGTGCGAGGGAGTGGAGGGGGGTGGGGGGAGTAACCAGTCAAGAGCAGCAGGCAAATCACGGGAATGAGCTGTTATTAGTGAACGGCTTTACTTTTATCGCACACACTCAAGCCGCAGTGACAGCCCTCGATGCCGTCTTTCTTCGCCGTATCGCAGCCGAGACAAAGGCGACAGGAAATGCTGTCACTCGGCGCCGTTGAAAGGGCTTTGAAAGAAAACGCAACTTATGTCCGCCTCTTTGTGTTTTCCCGACCTCCCTCCGACAGCTGCCACTCCCTACACACGATGGAGCAGGATTACTACGAAGGCACCGACTACCTCTCGCCACTTCCCGTCGACGCTGACAGGACGGAAGAGTTGGAATATGAGGTAGCAATTCCGAGTCGTCTTTGCGAAATAAAACAACATGTTTTTGCGTTCGGTCAATTTTGATATGATTTTGAGGTAATAGTCATATTCGCAACAAAAAGTTATTTGGATATGTGGACGTGATGAAGGGAAACATTTTTGCATAAATGTAACGATGAATTACCGTATTTTCCGCACTATAAGGCGCCTCGAAGTATAAGGCACAACTTCAATGAATGGCCTATTTTAGTACTGTTTTCATATATATGGCGCACCGCATTATAAGGCGCATAGAATAGAAGCTACAATAGTGGCTGCGGTTGCGTTATGCGTCCACTTGATGGAACTACGCTAAAGGGAATACAATACAATACAGTACAGCTTTATTTATATGGAGCTTTCGCAACTGCAACAAAGCCCTTTACAGAACATTTAAAATACTACATCCAAGAAATCAGAATATTGGTTCATTTATAAGGCGCATCGGAGTCGAAGGCGCACTGTCGGCTTTTGAGAAAATGGAATGCTTTTAGGTGCGCCTTATAGTGCGGAAAATACGGTAATTGAATTGAGCAGTTTTCCTGTCCAGGGATAAATTAGCTCTGTGAAAATTCACCCAAAATAAAGATCTACATGCGCATTCGAATATCGTGTTAAACCAACCGTTTCAGTAGTTAGATTCAAAAAGTGAACCAATAAATGACTTTAGGATTGTTTTTTTTTAAATATATAATTTCGATTAAAGCTGTCATAAGAAACAATCCTAAGTATTGAAGTACATCAATCAAGTAGCATTTGAAATCCTGAAAAAGTATTTCCTGTGTTTAATGAATATGTGCGTTTCACTTTTTGAATTGAACTTTTGAAATGTCGCTGGAATATAATATTGTTATATTAAAGCCTTTCTGTAAGCCTCTTTGCTGTGAACAAATCCAATTACAGTCGACGGGCTTTTTTTGCTCGTCACAGCTCATGCCTGCGCACTGCTGCAGCCAAAACGTCTGCCTCTGAAGTGAGGACGTAGGGAAGACATTTCTTTCAATGACTTTACTTGGAGGTGGCAGTCGAGGAGAAGCATTTTGCCGCCACTTCGCGGAGGAGCCGTTGAAATCCAATTCACCTTTCCTGCATGACCACCTTTCCGTCCGTGCAATGCCCGTGTAGCTGACGTTCTTTGGTTCAATCCAAGATCAATTTGTTCTTGTTAAAAGTGGGCACAGATGTTGTAAATGTTGCCGGCTCTCACTGCGGCCTTTGTTGCTGTCTTCATTGTTGTTTATTGCGTTCCAAACTCAAGAACGGGCCATTCAACGGAGAAGACGATCAGTTCATTCGGAAAGTACCTGCAGTCCGACTTCATTTTTTTTTTTTTTCAAGCGCTTTGATATGCCAAATGCATCCATCCATTTTCTTCACGGCTTATCCTGTTCACGCTCGAGGGAAGATGAAATCCCAGCAATACAGATTAAAGTGACTTGTATCGTGTTATGTGTGGAATTCAACCAACCGATCCAATGTAGAAGTTGGCAAGGAAGGAAACCAGACCATCCTTGCTTGATTTAAGATTTTGTGTGTTACGTCGAAGTTGAGAAGCAGATTCAGGCACTGCAGTTATTGCGCTTCAAAGTCTGCCTTTAACTACTGAGCGGTACCTGTGTTGAACTTGTGAATGGTAGTTTTAAAAAGTTTTTATGACTCAATAAGTACACACGGATTTAATAAAACTAATACTAAAACTAATAAAGACTAAACTAAAACAAAGCATTTTTGGGAAAAAAAAATATAAAAACGAACATGCTGGAAACTAGCTAAAAAATTTTGTTATATATATATATATATATATATATATATATATATAATTGCTGTACTGCCCCTCCTCACCCTTCGTCCTGTTTGTTTTTGCTTTTCAGCCAGTTCGTTTTTATTTAATTGAGTTTTTCTGAAAATGCTTTGTTTTAGTTTAGTCTGTATTAGTTTTAGTATTAGTTTTATTTTCTGTGTTTAAATATATATATATATATATATTTAAAAACATAATTTTTTTTAGCTACTTTTAATGTCTTTTATATATCTATTGAAAATTCCCCAAATATAATCCTGATCTGCACCAAGGTCAGAAACTGTTCCACTGCTCCTTCGGTGAATTTTGGTAATGTCAGTAACCTTAAGTCACTGACCTCAACCAAAGGTATCCCTACCTACCCTTGTATGATCTTTTTTTAAAATGTATAATCGTTTTTGCAATGTCCGTACCTTTAAGAAAAGGCATGCAAGCGCAGGGCGAACATGCGAGCGGATGACGACCGTCAAATGGAGTTCAATCCCCAAAGTAGTACGATCCCAATCATAAACGACATCCCGTTAAATAAATAGCTCTCAACGTGTCGCTTATTTCCACGTTAAAATTGCAACGTGATCATGAGCTGCTGTCAGGAGGCAATCAACTCCAGCAATAATTGATGCTTACTTTGGTTTACGATCGTTGATGCGGTGCGTGTAAAAACCATTCCGCCAAACGAGGCCCCGCGCATTATTGCCGGCGACATTTTGTTTGTGGTATTTGGAGACAAAGAGCAAAAATAAAAAAGGGATCTTGACCATCTTTTGTCAAGAGCTTTGATGAACTCACCACAGGGAAAATGACAAACTTTTGCGCTTGTTGACGGGTTTCCCCTCGCAGTCTCAGTGCATTTGTGGCCGCTTTTTCAATTACTGCTCATCAAAGGCGCCATTATGATGACAGCCCGCAGTGCGCCCTTGATGGCGGGCCCAACATTTTCGCACTAGATCATCCCACCGCCACCGTTAATTTACTGTCAGCTCTTATCTCTGTGCCGGGTGCTAATCTCCTATGGGGAACACACAAAAAAAAAAAAAAAAAATAGATTTTTGTGTGGCTGCTCAGAGGCAAGATGTTTTCGAGATGGATGCTTCAGTTTATTTGCAGAATTCTACCACCATCAAACACTGACGTAGGTCGATGCAAGCGCTTGTGAAATCTTCCCAAAAGTCCGACGTTTTGTTTTTCCACACATTACAACATTAGGCAAAGATAATCTCTTCTTTTATTATTTATAATTTTATCTGTCGTTTTATTGTTCTTGTTCTTGATTGTAAAGTGTCCTTGAGTGTTTTGAAAGGCGCCTATAAATGAAATGTTTTATTATTATAATATGTTCAAATATTCCCAAAACATTTGCCGAAAATGGGCCAATTTTACGTGATTTCTCGCTCTGTTGTAAAGTTAAACAAATAAATACTTCCGGCGACATTTCTTGACTGGACCGACGTGGAAGAAAGAAAAATAGAAAGAAAACCTTTGAAATACCGATATTAGATCTTGACTTATCACGCTATTAAAAATAGAGTTAAAAAAAAAATATATATATATACAGTATATTGTAATATTTGGGTAAAAACAGTCAAATTTTCCATTGAACAAAATATATGTTATTTTCCAGCAAAATTTGGAATATTAGGTACTGAAGAAACATACACCCGTCACTGGTGAGCTATTTTTAGAATGGACCTGTTGGGCTCCCTTATATTGTCCATGGGGCTAACTAGGACCCGCTGGCAGTTTTTTTTTTTTTCCAAAAATGCACAATAATCAACAGAAAGGCATGATGCTTGCTCACTTCATTCTCCTCCGTGTGTAACTGCTCTCTGCTTACTGACAGGGAGGGAGAGAGGGAGGGAGAGAGAGAGAAAAAACGTTAATTGTAGGCAGTAAACTTTATCGAGGCGTGTAACACTTTATTTACTCAACTCTGTCAGCAGCCAGTCATATTGTTCAATCAATTCCAAAATCAGGACAAAATATGGTGACAACCCATATAACAGATGTATTATTATAAGCTCTCCTGGACTTTTATGTCGCTTTTCCTGAGGCTTTTTCTTTCCAACGTTTTTCTTCCTGGATCCTCTCAGCCCCTGCCTTTAACTCTTTCATTCCACAAGACGTACTTGTACGTTTTTTTTTTAATTAGGCCCCGCCTACCAAGGACGTATTTGTACGTCTAAATCTTTTTTTTTTTTTTTTTGCGTCACAGAGAGGAGGAGGGTCTGATGCAATCTGTGAATGCGAATAAGCCGTTTGCATTGTAAATCGTGTAAAAAAAAGCGACCAGTAGGTGGCAGTGGTGCCTCACGTGATTGTAATGCATGCTTTTACAAAAAGCTCTTTTTCTCCGTTTTTTGCCCAGGAATCGCCATTTCCATGAAACTTAGCCATTTTGTAATGACGATTGCTTCAGAATGGAAAAAGATCAAAGAACAATTTTTTTTTCTGCTGAAAGAACAGAGTCCAAACTTTATTTTGGTAGGCTCCATGTTTATAAAGCATTAGAACCAAATATTCCGTGGGCCTTGCAAGATCAGTCAAAATCCATTAAAACGCTGGGATTGAATGAGTTAACGAGCGCATGTTATTCATGTTATTTCTAATTTATTTATTTCCACAGGAGGAAGGTGTAGTTTGTTCTCACGCCTAACTTGCGTCGATGAGGCAGAGAGGTGTGATGTCGCGCCCGCTCGCAGCCAATTTGTGCCCGTTATTCTGAGACGGATGGAGACCTTGCCAGCGATTTCAACATCCTTCTCGCGTCGTATTAGCATGCGAGGTGTGCCGCGTTGTGGTCTGGAGCTCGTCTTACCGCCTCCGCAGCGTCACGAGATGAGCCGGGATCATATTTCTGCCAACGTCGGGGATGGCGTGCAAACATATGGCGGTATTGAGACGACACATTTCTTTTTCGTGGCACTTCGAGCAGCAAGATTTGAAGCTGTCAGATCCGCAGAGGCACTCGGGAAGAGATTGCAGCTTTGTTTGATTTGGTTTGAAGGTGTGTGCTCACAGGTCATGAAAAATGTGGGCAATGTGTCGGAAACTGTTTGAAGAGCTCGAAGATTTGAGCGAGCCGCTGTGCCTGAAGTGCAATTGCTTGCGGATACTCTTAACGTCTTAGTAGATCAAAAGTTAGTCAGTATTAACCTTTAAATGAATCAGCTTGTGCATTTTGTTGTCACCTGTCAGACCGGGGGACGAAAACGAAAACATTTTCACTCATTGAGGCAGCACTTCCTCTCAGAAAGGTACCTCCCACTCCACAGTGTTGAAAATCTGCGCAAAAGCCCCATTCGCCGCACCCACATGGGAGTTTCACACTCGGATATTAAACTGGCGCCAGGGTTTCAAAGTAGGGTTTTAACCTAGGGTTACAGTTCAAAACTGCACCTTGGGTTTCAAATTAGGGTTTCAAACTGGAGTTAGGGTTTCAGTGTAAGGTTTTAAACAAGAAATCGGACACGGGCGTGGCAATCGGGCGATTCGAGTTCTGTTTTGGGCCCGGCAACTTGAATGACGACTCGATGCAGATGTGTGTGCCTCATGTAAGTCAATCGTGTGTTGATGCCTCACCAGAGGGAGGTGAAGAATTATTTAGTGCGGCGTATAGCGTATGTACGCCTGCTTGCATTTGCATAATTTGATCTTATTTATGGTTTAAGGGTCTATATTTGGCGCCAACTCAGGCGGAAAAAAAAAAAAAGCAAACACTTGATCTCCTGTGACATTTCAATTCCCCGCGCATGAGAGCGTCTCTCGTGATCAAACTCCTTCCGGCTCCCGAAAGTCAGAGGGGAAGTTTGCTTTCCAGTATGTTCAAAGTCAGTCGGAATTTTCTGTTTCAACTTGAAGACTCAAACTTGCCGATGCGTTTGATCTTCACTGCGCCAGGTTTTTAAAGCAAGACTAAAGATGAGCACCCCCCCCACCTCCCCCGTGCCGTTCTTTATTTACAGCCAGGCATTCCACCGATACCACTTATTTCAGACCGCACACAATTCTTTACAGTCGCTAATGCTAACATGACAAGCAGCGTACTGTCTCGTCCCCAAAAAAACTTTTCCAGGACTACGACTCGGTCGGAACTTCGAAGTGTGGAGTTTGCATGTTCTCCCCGTGCCTGCGTGGCTTTTCTCCGGGTACTCCGGTTTCACTTCGACCTTAAAGAATTGCTGAAGAACCGCAGTTTCTTTCATCTGCACAACACCCTGGGCAACATTTGCTCTATATTTTTTTCCTCCTCTCTCCCTTGACACAGGAAGTGGAATTGTGCCGACTCAGCAACCAAGAAAAGCTGGGCCTGACTCTGTGCTACAGGACGGACGAGGAAGAGGACGTTGCGATCTACGTCAGCGAGGTGAGTACGCGGCAAATTAAAAATGATCTGGGAAGGAGGCGGGGTTGGGGGTGGGGGTGGGGTTACAAACAGAGGAAGCGGCAGTCAAACAGGCCAACATGCTGTTCGATTAAATGAGTGTTCCAACAAGTCTGAAGTCGGGTTTAAAACATTAACTAACCGAGGTAGCGGGTGTCCTTTCTGTGGGTAGCGCATTCCACTGGAGCCCGAATTGAAAACGCTCAAGTACCTGCAGACTTGTTTTTGGCTCTCACGTGTTGTGAACGAAGAGAAGTTCTGCAGCACTAGAAGATAGAATGGGACGGATCTTAGCGATATCGCTAAGCTAAGCTATGACAACTGATTGTTTTTCCACATTTGGCAGAAACCATATTCCTATTCAGTCATTAAAAAATAATTAGATTAAATTAAAGCACTTTTTAAATCCTCGTAGAAACGGAAACCAAATTTCTCTTCTTCCGCTTCTCAAGAATTATTTCCTGAACTCGAATAACAGTGGCACACATACTGTATACAGTATCTTATTTTCATATCAGATGGACTTTAAGTGACCGTGCTATCGCTCTTATTTTGAGTCAACCACACGCTTGAGGCACCTCCACTATTTGGCTGTGCGGACTTCTGCTATATTCGGACCTGCTCGTAGCGTCATTTTAACATTATTTTCTAACTCTCAAAATGATGTTGAGCTTTTGTCGGAGTCGCTTGAAGCGAGATGAACGCATAGACTCACTTTCGCGAGTTGCGGTCCTCTTGTATCCATTTCTTGTAACTTTTGTCTGCGTTCGTTTGAAGTTGAAAGCCGAGCGGAATATAAAATCGCGCTCTGACAGCTGCTGGCAGCATTTGTTGGGAAAGAGGGGGAGGGAAAAAAAAAAGTTGGTTTAAGACGAGCGTGCTGCATTTTGATGAAGTGAAGAGAAGTTCGCTTGACTTGACTCCGGGTCGGAATTCGTTGCTTTTTTTTTTTTTTTTTTGAAGGAGGGGTTTCATATAGGGCAGAGCATACAGAAGGGTGAAATAGAAAGTTACATTCTATGCATGTCCAAGTCTCAATGACGTGGCCAGACTGTAAAAAAAAAAAGAGAATGCATCTCTTGAATTTTTCATGGGGTTCGGCAAAATGTACAGACGGGCCGTATCCGTCCCGCGGGCTGTAGTTTGGGGACTTCTGATTTAGAGCGTTCCATTAGCCTGTCATGCATTTTTTGGGGGGGAATGTGGGAGGAAACCGCAGCACCCGGAGAAAACCCACGCCTGCACGGGGAAACAATGCAAACTCCACACAGGAAGACCGAAGACGGACTCAAACCATGCGCTTCTCCACCACGAGGCCGACACGCTAACCACTCCCCCCACCGGGCCGCCCTCTTTTGAAATTCGTGTCAGAAAAACACAATGACACAAGATTTTATCATTCATCTCTTCATCTGAAGTATCCCCAGTTGTGTTGAAGTTCCACTCGGGCTTGCCCACACACTCACAAAAAAACGAGAGAGTGCAACACGCAGCTCGTAGCAACTTGATTTTCACTTGTAACATGATGACCTGAATTTTGTCACACGACGCCATTTCCCTCGCCCCATTCCCTTTTCATAACAATGCAACTTTATTCTTGTGTAGGTTGACTTGACTCGATATCCCCCCTCCCACAGTACTAAACACGAAATAAGCTTCAATTTCCATTGCATACTCCCAACCCCCCCCCCCGCCGTCGTTTCTGGAGCCACCTCATAGTGTCCTGAGTGCTGCTCTGAATAGGAGTGGTGTGTGATCAAGATAAAGTGCCACAGCATCCTCAGAGACAATAAAAATAATTGGCACACACACATACACGTGCATCCCGCCCCCCCTTGTTGTGTCAAATTAGCTGCAGCAAGCGCATGCCGTGTCGGGTTTGAGCGATGATCACCAGGATCTCCAGTCTGGGTTCTGACCTAACCTTGTTGCATCCATACTCTCCTTTCGCAGATCTGTCCCAACAGCATCGCCGCCAGAGACGGTCGCATCCGAGAGGGGGACCGCATATTACAGGTATAGGTTTAAAAAAAAAAAAAAAAGAAAAATTGATCACACTGCTTTGCTGTCCCCCAGCATGAAGAACGGCATTCATTTTTAATGGCCGCACATTAAAGGTAGGCGGGGGTGGGATTTCCTCCACCTCCCCCCACCCGCTTCCCACTGTGACTGTTAAAAGGCGAGAATAGCCCCCCTGGTTGTTTTACTTAAAGACTCAGCAACACCGTTTTTTTTTTTTTTTTTTATCTTAAAAGATGTCGCCGAAGTATTAAGGAGGCCCTTATGACGGTTAACATGACAACTTAATATTCAGAGCATGACTTTATTTTTGCGACCACACGAGGGCGTTGTCATGAAGATCGTCTTTACTCAATATGATGTCGTTGATGTTACGGTGCCACGTGAACTTTTTTCTCATCGACTAGAATAGCATGTGGAACTTTATGTTTACCGATTTTATTGTTGTCATAGCATGAAGGCTTCATCCATAATCCGATTTGAATCTTGTCGCATTGCAATTGCACCTTTTATTCCCGTTGACTCGCCTAACTTTATTCCCTTAGATTTGCCATTTTTATTGTAATATGACGACCTCTTACTCCTCTGCATTGTGATTATTCATATTCATCGTGTTACATTGCGACTTTAACTTTATTCGCATAACATGCGTGAACAATACAAAAGTTTTTAATCCGAGTTGCAAGCAAACTTTTCGAGATTTTTTTTTTCCGCTGATTCCAAACCTGCCCTCATTTTTGTTTTTGTCCATAATAATATGAAATATATTTCAGAATCACGGTTGAATTTTTTTTTCTGAAAATACCTCAAAAACCTGAATGCTGCAACGTTTTTTTGTAACGTTACATTTCATCTTTATTCTACCCCTGTAACAGGTTTTTCTTCAAGTCCGATCGCTTTTCCTCAGACCATCCCACTTAATTCTACGTGTGTCCCTTGCAACTTTTCCCTCCACTTTGACGTCATTCTTGCCATACGACAAGATTGTCACAACATTGCGGCGGTTTCCTCCCATGACGACGGCGTGAGATCCAACTTGCTCGCAACGCGGCTCGTCACGTTCGTTTGTTCTCTGAGCGTTACAACTGCACAGCGTTCCTTCTTCTCCTTCTTCCGACCTCATTTTGCGACATTTTAAAACACTGTATTCAGAACCCTGACATACTGTCTTTCTTTCTCTGCCGCTCGCGAGTGCAAAACTGTTGGCTCTTAATTGCGCGGCGGTGTTGGCTGAGCGAAGTGATGCAGAAGCGCATTTCGGGGAAAGGGGGGGGGGGTTGTTTACGTGTACACTCGTTTGCCATTATCCGCTGATGACAGCGCCATTAGTCTGGCCGGCGAAAAGATGGACGCTGGCTGTCAGCGGCCAGTTAATTGTACGGCGAGATGTACGTATGCGCCGTCTGCCCACTGTAGCACCCTCCCATTCATAATAACCGCCGCCGCCGCCGCATTGTTGAGCTCGGGGCTTTTTATTGCATATGAGCTGACCTCTTTTTGCGTGTGTGACTACTCGATTGTGTACACCTCTGTCTCACACTAATCCACTTTTGGTGTCATCTTCAGATTAATGGGCAGGATGTGCAGGACCGCGAGGAGGCCATGGCTGCGCTGTCGAACGAAGAGTGCCGCAGAATCACCCTGTTGGTCGCCAGGCCCGAGATGCAGGTTAGAAAGCGTCGCATTACCAAAAAAAAAAAAAAAAAGAAAACACCCATATAAGAGCCAACCACATATCCGGAGATGCACCGGGTCGACCTCATCAGCGTGATGATGTGGATGTGGTGTTCCCTCCCTTCTCTTCACACCGAAAGCACTCTTGGAAGCCGCCAGCGAGGCACCTCATCGTGTCTTCTTTTTTTTTTTTTTTAATGTAGCGCCACTGTAATTGACTTCCGACGTTCAGTAATAAAAGCTAATGGCGAGCTAATGGCGGCACGGGTCCAGGCCCGCCGCAGACTGAGCGGAAGGACACGTGGTGGGGTGCAACTGAGCCGCCAGCCATTTCTAATTAAAAAGCGCCGCTCCAGTCGTAAATCAAAAAAAAAGAAATATACGATACGGATGATTCGGATTTAGTGGGGAAAACTTAAGAGACAGACGACTCGGAGATAAACGCGATCTCATCATGTCGCGGGTGAATTCCAACAGAGCGTCGGAAAGTATTTTGTTATTTGTTGACGTCCGCGCGCATCAAACGATTTCCTCCGTGTGCAGCTGGAGGAGGCCTGGCTGGATGACGAGCACAGCGAGTTCCTGGAGCAGCTCAAGATGGAAATGCTGGAGGAACAGCGGCGCGAGGAGATGGAGTTGGCCGCCCTCCAGGAGGAGCAAGAGAGCGGACAGGTTGGACGCACGCTTCGGGTCACCGCATGACTGACTTTGCTCTGTGCTGTCTGCACACGCTGGCGTTTTATTTTATGATATACGTGAAAAATGAAGCCCGAATGCTATTGGACCGAATGTGACCTTGGGCGGCTTTAGAGTTCACCGGGTTTACACTACGGCTGAACGATTTAGAAAAATAATCCATTGCAATTTTTTTCGCCCCCCTTAAATTGTGATCACAATTTTACATGCTCATCCTTTTTTTCTATTGTTTATAAATACAAACAATGAATTAATCTTTTCAATAAACGACGGCACTTATCACCACCGCCCGATACCTCCCAATATACGCCAAGGTTGAGTTTTTTGTTGTTTATTACGCATGTGGCTGCAACTGAGGGTTTTTTTTCCAGTTCCACACTGTAGCCCGCCCTTTCTAGGAGCAAAGCTTGCGACTTGTTTTGTTCCTTGGTATTTGTTATTCTTTTGTTAACGAAGGAAATCGAAGTAATATTTGGTGCCTCGTCAGGCCTCTCCATTCTGTCTCCCTCTGTTGGTCATCGTTTTTTTTTTTTTTAATGTCTCTTGGATGGGTTGTATCTGTTAAGTGAATTAAGTACTTGTGCATGTGGAATTCCATTCCAAGTTTTCCTGTTCCAGGAAACAATAATACGTAAATATGTGGACTGCCCTTCTTAAGCACTAATTTTATCAGGACAAAATATAAATACCGGTACATTAATTTTATATATATTAGGTACACCTGTCTCGGTGAAGCCCCGCCTCTTCACTGTTCACAATTAACGGATTAACCTACATTTTCGTGATTTGAGGGGGATCTCGGTCACTCTCCCTATAAATAGCGAGGGTTCACTGTCATGATAATGGATATTTATACAAAACATCAGTGACAATTATGACGCAAACCTGGCAAAGCAACATAGACCAGAAGTTCAGGGTGTGTTTGTTTTTGTTACCAGCGGGAAGAGGACGACAAGCCCACCTGCTCCACCCTCACTCAGCATCAGGACAGGGGCCGGATCCTGAAAGAGAGACAGGACAATTCCGAGCGCAACGTCCTGGCGCACATCCAGAGGCGCCTGTCGCAGTGTCTCCGGGACAACCTGGACCCGCGCCGCCCGGAGGGCCGGGAGGACGAGGAAGACAACGAGGAGGCGGCGGAGGGCGATCGCTTCCAGCAGCTCCTGGAGCTCAAGTGCCAAATCCGCAACAGTGGCGAGTACGACCTCTTCTACAGCCGGCGTAGCACCATCGAGTGTAGCGTGGGCGAGCCGGGCAGCGTTCAGCACGAGCTGCGCATGCTCAATGAGGAGCTGCGCAGCATCGAGCTGGAGTGCCAGAACATCATGCAAGCGCACAAGCTTCGCCAGGGCCAGCAGTCGGAGAGTCCCCTTCGAGGGGAACCCGGCAAAGGCAAGCTGGCGGACATCAACGAGCGGCTGGAGAAGTCGGACAAGGACAGCTCCAGCGCTTACAACACGGCCGAGAGCTCCCGGAGTACCCCTCTGGCTATGGATCGCTCCCCTGAACATTCCCTCCAAAGGATGGTGAGCCTCACCAATCAGCGGAACCTCAGCAGCAGCCTCGCCGCCGGACCGTCGCTCAGTCCCAGCCCCGTCCCGGGTTGCCAGGCGTCGCTTCTCTGTAAGAGCAGCAGCCCGGACCACAGCAATCCGTCCGAGTCGGACCACGTGCTTCAACCCGAGGAGGAGGGGCGACGAGGGAAACCCAAGACCCGGGTGTCGCAGATCCCTTACTTCTCCCCATCGCACAGTTCGCATCATCGGCAGGCCAACATCCCGGCCCACGCCCGCCACTATCAGAGCTACATGCAGCTCATCCAGCAGCGCTCGGCGGTGGAGTACGCCCAGAGCCAGCTCAGCCTGCTCAGCGTGTGCAACACGGAACCCCAGGCGGCGCCTCTCCTCCTGGACGAGCCCAAGATGGAATGGAAGGTGAAGATCCGCAGCGACGGCACGCGCTACGTCACCAAGCGGCCGGTGCGCGACAAGATCCTGCGGGAGCGAGCGCTGAAGATCAAGGAGGAGCGTAGCGGCGGCATGACCACGGATGACGACGCCATGAGCGAGATGAAGATGGGCCGCTACTGGAGCAAGGAGGAGAGGAAGCAGCACCTGGTGCGCGCCAAGGAGCAGCGCAAGCGCCGCGAGTTCATGCAGCGCAGCCGCCTGGAGAGCCTGAAGGAGAACCCGCAGAGCAGCGGCGAGGCCAGCATCATCGAGCTGAGCCACAAGAAGATGATGAAGAAGCGCAACAAGAAGATCCTGGACAATTGGATGACCATCCAGGAGCTGATGACGCACGGCACCAAAGCGCCCGAAGGGACGCAGGTGCACAACGCCTTCCTGTCGGTCACGACTGTGTGAAACAAAACACGCACTTTCTACCCGCGGCGGTATGAATCTAATTGCCTCGTTCAATGTGGCGTTTTTATGAGGACAAGAGGAGTATTTTTCACACTTTGTACACCCGAATAGCATTTTGTAAAGAGTTTATCCGTGGCGCTATGGCATTCCCTTCGACATTTTTCTACGGATTGAGGACACCGTCGCCTATTTTCACAGTCGTGTCGCCAACCGTACAGCTCAGACGCGTGTTTGTTTCCCGTGCTATGTTTCAATGCAAAATGCAGCAGGTCTCATGTGTTTGTTTTTTTTTGTCGAGTAGCTCTGTTCACCTTGTAGCTTATGCACAGGGCTCGCCAACCGGTTTCAAACTTTATTTCTTGGGTATTGACGAAAGCCAAGGGCTACCAGTTGGATTCACACTTCTGAAATTCGCTCAAATTAACTTTGATCATATGGTATTATCTATAACGCTAGTCATGTATGGAAAGGCAACGCTCATGTTCAGATTTCTCACTAATTATGAACAAGAACGAAAGATAGCAAAAGTTGATCACCGATATGTCACGCCTTATTTCTTGAAATAATCACTTCTATAACATTCCTAGGAATTCCATTCACAGCGTCCCATTACCGGCAAACTCTTTTAGGAGCAGGCCTGCCGCCTACTATTATGGTCCTTCGGGGCGAGCTGGTGCAAAGGGGCACCAAATTGGTGATCCACAATATTTGCATCGCGGCTATCCAATGTCATGTTACAGGTGTACCTAATATTGTGTCCAATGAGGGAGCACAAACTACAATGTTGTTCAGGTTAAAAAGAAACAAAACCACAATTTAAAAAAAAATGGGGTTCATATTAAGATCAGGATTTGCTTTAATTTGTTGTATTATTCAAACTTTTTTTTTTTAACTCATTTTCTTTTCCATACCTGAATTGTATAATTAGCCACTGAGCAGGACTCAGCTGATTGGATCTCTTATTGCAGTATAAGGTCAAATTGAAGTTGTAGTTTATTCCCATGTGACATCATTGCTTAAAACAGAAATACTGTCTTGTAAATTTCACATATGGCGCAGGTCCCCCCCCCCCCCCAACCCCCCGCCCCGTCTTTGTTTTGAGTCTGTGCGCCATGGTTTCACGTAAACGCGTAGTCGGCAAATGTGTAGCCAGTTGGAAAAAAAATAATGTGATGATGGTGCTCTTTGGAAAATAAATGACAATAAAAATTGTAATTTTTTTTTCCTTTTGAGTAGGTTTGATGCTGTGCTGTTTGTGTATGATCTCAACCAGAATGCACAGGATCCAATGTAATGTGATGAACGGTACACTGTCCAAACCGACGTTGAATCCAAAGTTTATGGTAAAATCATCCATCCATTTTCCAATCCGCTTCTCCTCACAAGGGTCGCGGGGGGTGCTGGAGCCTATCCCAGCCGTCTTCGGGCAGTAGGCGGGGGACACCCTGAACCGGTTGCTAGCCAATGGCAGGCCACGCATAGACGAACAACCACTCACGCTCACAATCACATCTAGAGACGATTTAGAGTGTTCAATCAGCCTGCCGTGCATGTTTTTGGAATGTGGGAGGAAATCGGAGTACCCGGAGAAAACCCACGCAGGCACGGGGAGAACTTGCAAAACTACCCACAGAAAGGCCGGAGCCGGAACCGAACCCTGCACCTCTGCACTGTGAGGGCGACGCGCTAACCAGTCGACCATCGTGCTGTGCCGACCAGGTAAAATCATGAATAATTCAAATGTTTTGGAACAGTTATTATTCTCATTCAACCTGTGAAGCCACTTGTGTAAAACATCCTGGTAAGAAGCTATCCCGAAAGAGGTATAAAACAAAAGATGTTGAGGTAAATAAGAACATAGGTTATTACGAAAGCCGGTAATAAAATAGCTAGCCTTGAAGAACGTAGATACAGATAAGGTACTTTGGAGATGGAACAAGAAAGGTGAATAGAAAGAAACTCAGTGCGGTCAGTATGAAGGTACATTGTGAAGAATAAGAACAGAATGAGGAAGGTAGGTAGAAGGGAGGTAAGGAAGAAAGACTGGTCGATGAAAAGGTAGACTCAGTGAAGGTACTGTTGTGAAAAGGTTGACAGAACAAAGAAGAAACTGTAGGTCGAAGAATAGAAATGGATACTAAATAGGTAAGGTTAGCGAAATGAAGAAACTAGAAATGTAGATCTGCGGGTCATCAAAAAGCATTCAGTCATTAAATGTATTTTGTGACAATCAAGGCCATAAATGCCATTAAAAATGGTTATATACAATGTCCGGACGCATTGATTAAAATAAAACACCAGTGGTTTGGTGCCAGTTAGCAGCTAGCTTGGAGCTCGGTTGCCATAGCTCTCAAAGGGGTCTGTACAGGAACTCCCAGACCACTTTGAGAAGCCGTAGCTGAGTGTAAGCCCGGCTTGTCACATGGAGTTACTCCAAGTCACTCGGACTTTGGACTCAAGGTGTACTTTATTCAGTAACTCCTTAAGATAGACAGGAAATATGAAGTTAAGAGGGTAGCCGGAGCAAGAAAGGTTGCTACAAGAAAAGGAGGGACATAAGTATGATGTGTAAACAGGAAATAATGTCGATAGACCTGGTATGGAAGAAAATAGGGTGTAAAACTACCGTGTAAAAACAATAGTTAGATGGATGAAGTTAGATGGAACAAGAAAATTCTTGAGAGGAAAAAAAAATGTTGGTCAGCCAGGGGAGGTGTGACGGCGGGGACTTTTCGACAGGTAAGTACGAAGGTAATTGGTAAGAAGGCCTAACATTGATTTCTGGAAGCTCCGCGTGTGAAAAGTGAATTACTGGTGGCGTGAACATCCATCCTTGCCGCCTGCCAGCGCGTCAGGCCGTTCAGCTGGAGGAGATTTCAATTAAAACGGCCTTCCACTCGGGTGGCTTTATGTTCATTAGGAGGGAGCGGCCACACTTCATCATCTTCCGTGACCTCGTCGCCACGCGGAGCTGGTCAATGTGTTGTCTTAACCTGATTTTTTAAAGTGAGCAGAGACAGTCAGCACGACTAAACACTGCGCTTGGCCAGGCTCGGTGTGTCCGACGCGGTGCTCACCTTCTGGTGGAGCTGTTGACCTTTTTAGAATGGTTGGAAATCTAAAATCTTCATTCAAGCCCTTTAGCCTTTTTTTTTTCTCTCAATTGCGATGTCTTGGTCAAGTGACAAAGGTTTGTTGACTCGCGTTGCAATCGGGCATGGCTCTGTCGTTTGCTACCTGGACGTGCCTGTGACGTCATTGGTGAAAAGGTCTATTGCCGCGTTAGTCATTTGAGGCACCTGAGTGCTCGGCGGCGATTTAAGTTGATCTGCGAGCCCCTAACGGAGCAGATCAGATGTAATTAAAAAGCACGAGGTGACAGCCGTGGCATTTGTCTGAGCCATGCGAAGTTCAAACAGCAGCGCTGGCACAAATGTCAACGAGATAGCGGTCCTCCTCACAACTCACACATGCAGTACCTCCTCTGTTATCAATGTTTGCTTGTGACCTTTGGGGAATCCCAGGGTAGTAGATCGCAAATTATCTGTCCTTTATCCCAGTGATTTTCTATGTGGGATGAAATAAAAATAAAAAAATAAATAAATCACTATCTCAAATCAACTCAACTGTATTTATAGAGCACTTTAAAACAACCAACGCTGTACACAAAGTGCTGTACATGGAGAAAATATCATACATACAACAATAAAACAATAAATTAAAAAAGAAGACAGCAGAAAGCACGAAAACAGTCAAATTAAAATCAAGGCAAAAGCCAAAGGATACAAATGAGGTTTGAGACGAGTTTTAAAGATGGGCACCGAGGGGGCTTGCGGAACCTTCAGTGGGAGGTCATTCCAAAGAGAGGGACCAGCAACGGAAAAGGCTTGGTCCCCTCTGAGCCTCCGCTTCGTTCTTGGTACCTCTAATAATGTCTGGTCCGCAGACCTGAGGCACTGGGCAGGTGTGTGGGGGCGGAGGAGCTCAGAGAAGTCAGGTGGAGCGAGGCCATTTCAAGATTTGAAAACAAATACAGTAATAGGATGCCAGAGTAGGAGTTATGTGCTCCCTCTTACGAGTACCAGTCAAGAGGCGAGCAGCAGCATTCGGGACCAACTGGAGACGCTTAATGGAGGATTATCTGACTCCAAAGTAAAGTGCATCTGTGTAAGGTTATAGCATCTTAAATGTTTTTAAATCTTTAAATTACATTTCTTAAGTGTGGTTCAGTTGTATTTTACAAAGCCCTCATTTTTCACGCTCAATGGGGACCACAAACCCCCCGCGAAAGGTGAAAAGCGTGAGACAGCATTTGTTGAAAAATGCATCTACTTTAGGGTAGACTTGGGAAGAGTCCAGTAGAGAGTTGAAAGGAAGTTGGCGAGTTTTTCTCGGCGTGACCTAACTGCACGGCTTCCCGCTTCTACTTTTAGGAACATCGTGATAAATGCATTTGTGTCTTGCTCATGCCGAAAAGCCTCTCTGCTTTATAACATTTCAAGATCTTGGGATTTCTCGGGATGCTTTGTCTGAATCTCAGCCGCTCTTGTTGGGGAAATAATGATCCTGCTTAAGGTGTCGGAGCTCCTCGGGTGCGCCTTGTGGGGATGTGACCCCGGAGGACAATAGAAAACAGCTCATGCGGTCAAGCTGCGAGCTGTGTGATCAATTACATCCGCCGTCTGTCTTTAAGCAGATTGCTGCATAAACTCATTAGAGGGTGGAAATTTTTAATTATCTTGAGTGCGCGCAATTTTGTTTGGGCCAGCGTTTGGAAGAAACATCTATTGCTTCAGGTTCACAGAAACAGATACGTCACTGACTGTGATGCATGCATCATTTGTCAACGAAGAATCCATTAAGTGGATTGTTGCTGTGATGTCATCAAGAAGCATACAGTGAGGTCATAGAACTGAGACGCACGAGTGAAACTCCAAAAGTTACAATTTTAAGACGTCAAAAATGTTATGCATTTGAAACTCCCATGACCTATGAAGTAGTCATGGGCGGGCGTCAGGGAAGTGTTTATCGTGTTCACTGCCTTTCAGGAGGAGCTCAGTTTAGCCTGGGTCGTTAACAGAAGAAACTACGACAGAGGTTAATGTTGTAAGATGAGTGTGAAATCATGAATTCTGAGGTGTAGTTCAGGGCAGCGGTCCCCAACGTGCCTTCAAAATAAGATACACCGGAAATACAAAGTGCATGAAAAATACGAGTCACCATCGCCGTATATTATGCAGAGCGGGCTTGGTGCGTGGGAATCTCCCGTTGAGTTAAATCCGTAGGACTCCTTATAGTGTCTATTAAATGTAGCCGCCTTTTTCTTGAAATTCGTAGGCTCCTTTTCTGTCTCTTGGCTGGGCCTTTTCGCCTTCCCAAAGGCGTTTGTTTTTTACTCATTTTTCTAGCTCATGGGTTTCATTTTAGCCGTAACCCATCACGTAACCTAGAAGCGCGCCTTGACCTGCGTCAAGAGTGACATACTGTAGACGGGTGTAACAGAGAATCTGACAATTTTTCAAAATAAAACATCTTTCACAGTCCGAAATGAATAAAACGGAAGTCATGTAAGTTATTTATTCTTTCTGTGCAGCCCGGTACCAAATGACCCACGGACCGGGACCGGTCCACGGCCCGGGGGTTGGGGACCGCTGGTTCAGGGTATATTTAGGATTTAAACTATTGGAGTCAGGAATTTGGAACTACACCAGCTGGTAGGAAAGAAGGAAGACAAGTACTTTGTAGGTCGGTACGGCAGTAGACAAGCTGGTAGGTACTAAGACAACAGGTTTTTTTGTACGATACTGAAACATTATTTGCACTCGACACCTTGTTAATAGCATCATCTTGCTATTCATCTTAGATTCTGCCAAGCGAAATAAAGCCCAGAATCCAAAAGTAGAGACAAACCCAATTCCCTGAAAGTAAGCTCGTGCAGTCTGCGCATGAATGCTACTCTCTAATATTCTCTTTTATTGTACCACATATTGCTTTTTCTCCTCTCACACACGTATTCTTATTAAAGATATCTGTAAAAGGTCTCGCGGACGCGTGGCAAATTGGATTCAGTTTAAC